AAGGGGACTTTGCATGGTCAGTAATTGCTAGCTTTCCAGTAAACAAATTAAATGCAAAAACACTTGGAAATTGTGTATGGAGTACTATTAGTATTCTAAGTGAGTTAAAGTTTGGTAGAAACAACGATAAGAAAGTTCAAGTGCTCTATGGTGTATGTGATGGCGCAACTCACAGCTCAGCATTCTTTAATCAGTATGGCTCCACAAATTGGATGACAGAAAATCCTTTCAATAACAACAATCCAATTTTTTGGCTATCTGACCCTCCCCACATGATAAAGAAGTTGCGTAACTTTCTAATATCTCAAAAACGCAATCTCAAGTACAGCAATTATGACATTTCTTTTGATCACTTGGCTGATGTGGCCCAGAGGGGTCAAACAAAGCTCTCATCAAAACATCTATTTCTCAGCTCTCGGACGAAGATGTCAGTTAAGCGTGCTGTGGAAACATGCTCTAGGGAAGTTGCAGACGACATACTGTATAACAGCAAGTATGGACATCCCACTACACTCATGACAAGAACCTACATCAGGAAAGCTGCTGAATATTTTAAAATCTTGAACAGCATTTCAATTGATGATGACATGACACGCAAACTCATTAGTGTACTTGTGTTCTTCAAACGATGGTATACAGAGCTGCTTGAAGAAGAAAAAGATCACAAAGGTGCTTTAAAAGAACACTGGAGAAAATTTATCTCCAAGCACACGTACAATGACCTCACCCGTTCCATCAGAGGATTTATAGGTCTTGTAACTTACCTCCAAATAAATCACAGTGATACCATCATAGTTCCTCGTACAACTAATCAAGATGACGTAGAGAATTACTTCAGTCTTCAAAGAAGTAGAATTGCTGGTGGGGAACCAACAGTGCAACAATATATGGAAGGAAATTCAAGTATTACTACAAGCCTTCTCATACAAGCTGAAAAGAAAGAATATGATCAAGCTTACATCGGGTCATATGCCACTCTAGCAACTCCTAACTTTGTTTCTGTACCTCTGAAAAGAAAAAAGAATAATATTGGAAAAATGTCAAAAGACCATGACATCCCCAAATCTGACTCTACTGTTATCAAAAGTCTTGAAGTCAATGAGACAGAAATTGAAACTTTTCACACCAAAAAAGATGAGGAACAGCTGTATAGACAAGCTAGACAAGTCCTTGATCATATAGCTGTTAAATCCCCCAGTGCTATTATTGGACACACGGTCAAATTTGTCAGTTGTCTTCAAGAGAAAGCAAATAAGCAGTACCTACTTAAATTCCTGAAGAAAATGAATTTTAAATTGAGGCAACAGTACTTCATTCCACAACAATGGCACAACAACATTCTAACAGATGCCTTAAATTTTGTACCACAAGACAAAGAATTAATAGCAGCATGGGAGGAACTGTTTACTCATGTTTATCAAGATCCTGATGCTAAATATCAAGGAGGAGAAATTTTTAAATTGTTTAGTAAAAAAATTTGCAAGAGGCGGTGTGTGACATTTCTTGCAGTTGACGGTCTGAATCCCAGTAATGAGAAGCAATCATCAGCAATTCGTCAAATGCTACGCCAGTTTGAAAAAAAAGAGCAAGCTAAAGAAAGGGCAAAAATTGTAAAGTCAACTGATCAATGCTTCAAATGTGGCGAGCTTGGTCATTGGGCAGCGCAATGTATGAAAGACATTCCACATGATCCCGCTTGGTTGGCAAAGCAGCAGTGCTATGCTTGTGGTCAGGCTGGCCACTTGAAAAAAAAGATTGCAAAACACATCATCTCAAGCTGCCATATCTACACCAAAGTGTACATCAAAGAACTCTAAAAGCAAGGTAAAAATGTATCTATAAATGCGTCATTGTTTTACATGATATATTATAAAAGTGCCTGTATCTCTGCCTTTAAGTAAAAAAAACCCTTTTTCCTTAAGAAAGTAGAGTTTTTACACTTTCTGATAAGGGCTTAAGTTCAATAACCTTTCTTTACAGGGAGACATCAGTGACCCTCTAACCATACAACTGCTTCGTTTACATGAGGTAACATTGCGAGACAACCCTACATTAGTACCAGTTCAAGCCAAAGGTACTAACAAAGTGAATGATGAGCGATTGTTTAAACAAGGGACGGAGGAATGGAAAAAAGCAAGGAAAGGAAAAGTGAATGGAAGTAAAGCTGCAGTTGCATTAGGTAAATAACCTTAAAATACAGCTGAATGAAAAAACGGTGTCGCTTGAAAAGTACAGTATAAACCTTGCACTATGTGACCTAATGAAAGTATACCCATAAAAGCTTAATCATTCATGGTTTACACATCTTAGTGACAAAGTTTTTTTTAATCAGGTATATAACATATGCTAGTGATAAATTACATCATCAATAACAGTATAGCATTGTCGTTTGGACTAAAAAATATCCTGGCCTTAGAAATAACTTTTGATAACATAAAATTATTATCCTTCTTCTAGGTTGGAGAGGAAGAGAAGAAATGGTTCTTTATGCAAAACAATTGATGCCTGCCAATGATTCCACAAACGAAACTGAATGCCAATAAATGAGGCCATGAAATGGGGATCAATGTGCGAAGATCATGCAGTTGCTACTTATATCAATGGAATGCCATGTAAAAAATTTGAAAAGACAGGACTGTGGGTAACAAGGGATCGAAATGGGGCTGCTTGGCTTGGTGTCTCTCCAGACGGCATAGTCGACAGTGATACGGTTGTGGAAATTAAGTGTCCTTATATGGGAGGAAATCCTTTTCCCTATAGAAAAGTCCCAGTGTTGTATGTTCCCCAATGTCAACTCGAAATGTACTCTACTGACACACTAAAGTGTCACTTTGTTTGTTGGACACCAAGAAAAACAGTGATTATACTGATAAAAACGTACGAGCAGTTCATAAAAGATCTTCTTATTCCACTGAAAGGTTTCTGGAGTGAAGCACAGGCTGGAAAAATACCCACTTGGAACACACACCTTGACCATCTCAAAGCACAGGCTCAGAAGATAAGCAACCAGTCAACGGTCTTGACAACACTAACATCCTGCAGAAGTGAAAACGCCATGGAACACAAAGATTTTAATATGTTTTGGAAGAACGCTCAGGGGACGCCCACACGAAAGTGCCAAGGCTGCGGGAAACTGCAAGTCCTCTGCAGAGTTAATCCTTGCTTAAAAAAGTTACATTCAAATCCCTCTTCACCATCTTCCAGTATCTTCCAATCGTACACATATGGCTCTGGTCAAATGGCAAATTCCTGTTATTTGGACACTTTTCTAGAATCCATTTATCATCCTTTCATACGACAAATAACACCGGAAAGAACACATTTTGATCATACCACTCCAGCTATGGATACACTTCTTGAATCTATTGTCCTCCGTGGACAAGGAAGTTTTCATAGAAGTAAAATGGTTCTCTGGACCTATTTACACCATCACACTTCTAATGGAAGGACGACTTTTCCACTTGGCCAAATGGCGGGAATTTCCAACGTCTTTACTGCTCTGTGTTCAAACATGTCACAACCAAAAAAGAATGCTCTCTTCATCACAGATTCAGTCAACATCAAATGCAGAAAGTGTAACCATTGCCGTAACATTGTAAACACTCACAGTTCATACTTCATACACCACACTAATATAAACATAATGGATATAACAGATTCTACATATGATCCAGTGCAGGTCGCAGAAAAGGTACTCGTTCAGCAGGATATTCTCTGCTCACAAAGAGGTATTTGTTTAAGATCAAATGATGATGGCTCTGTTTGTGGAGGTCAACTTTCCCACTCGTATTCCGTGGTTAATAATCCCTTTCTTCTAGTGTTTGAGCTTGATAAGGACGAAAACAGGCCCATCCAGCCAGGACTGTCAAGCAAGCTCCACCTAAGGATCAAGAAAGATAAATATGACCTGGCAGCAATTATATACCACCACAACTTTCATTTCTGGTGCGAAGTATTTGTCAGTGAAAAAAAGTACAGAGAGGGATGGTTCTTGTACAATGATATGTGGAACAATGGCAAAGCTGAATACGTTGGAAAACATCCCCAAGTAAAAACGGCATCATACATGTACATGTTAGTGTTCGAAAGGTCACAAGTTAACATGACGACATCATGCTCGAAAGATCACTCAGCATCATTAAAGAACATCATGTCCGTGGCCTTCCAAAGTAACATCACTCCTAATGCCAAGCAAGTAAAGCAGAATTACATTGACATTTTCAAGTCCTGCTCTATAGCTGTCAATGCAAGTTCTTCAAACCAGGAGCTGAGAGCCAAACTCCTTGAAAATGAACAATGTATACTCGGTTCCTTGACTACTAGTAAAAGTCCCACAACCCAACAAAGCCCCAACACCACTTCTTCGAAACGCAAAATCGGAATGACAGACGACATACCCTCTGCAAAGAAACCTAAGCTGCTTTAAAGTTTGCTGAAAGCTATAAATGAAAAGCAATTTTGACTGCCGGTACTGAATTAGTAAGATAAATATACTTCAAGTTGTTCTACACGCACTGATGTTTGGTATCGAGCACGAAAAATAGATCGACTGATCATTTTTATGAGGCGTTCATCGATATTAACTACACGCTATACACATTTTGGGCTTATTGTAGTTTGCGAAACGAAATGGAACGAAACGAAATGAAAATCTGTAGTTTGCGAAATGAAAATCTGTAGTTTGCGAAATGGAAATCTGTAGTTTGCGAAATGAAAATCTGTAGTTTGCGAAATGAGAATTTGTAGTTTGCGAAATGAAAATCTGTAGTTTGCGAAATGAGAATTTGTAGTTTGCGAAATGAAAATCTGTAGTTTGCGAAATGAAAATCTGTAGTTTGCGAAATGAGAATTTGTAGTTTGCGAAATGAAAATCTGTAGTTTGCGAAATGAGAATTTGTAGATTGCGAAATGAAAATCTGTCGTTTGCGAAATGAAAATCTGTAGTTTGCGAAATGAAAATCCTCTGGAGAATGCCGACTTCAAATTCAGCGTGAACAACG